GCGTAAATTGATAAGCTGCAAGTGCCTCGAGTCGATGCAGGGGCAGGCTGCAAGGGGCTAGCTGTTGCAGTTCTCAATGCCGCTGCACTCAGAGAAAACCATGTTTTTATAATGGAAATAATTGGGGAAGAACTTAATACGTTTTGTAAATAAAATTTCAATTATATTGACGTCTTAAATAACCCAAAAAAATACTGAATTTTTAATTTTATTATTCTTGCAGAGTTTAAAACATTCTCCGCTGCTCTAATGTTAAAGAAGAAGACTGGTATTTTCCCCAAAGTACCTATTACAATATTTGGTGGAAATACGGAAATACCTGGAAAGTTCTGCAGAAAAGTCTGATAAATATTGATTTGAGGATTGTTAAATAGTTTTAAAATACTCGACATAATCATTTAGATGTCTTTAGAAATTTTCAAATTAAAAAAAAAAATGTTTTTGATGTAAGAATTTCGTTTAATACTTAACAAAATCTACCTTGTCTGATTTAGATAATTAGTATGTGTTCGATTTAAGTATAAGCTTCTTGTTTATTTTTTCTCTGAGTGCACTTGTTGCAGTTGCAACTGTGACCGGTTGGCTTATTAGTGGCTGCGATTGACATTGCCTTTGCCTTTTGCCTTCTGTTTTGCCGTTTCCTCCTCTGCCGCCGCCTGCGCCTGCTCAGCGGGAATTTGCGCATGCGCAGCCCTGGTGCTGACCAATCCCAATACCCAATTCGCAAGCCCAGAACCAGACTCCCTTCGACTAGACCAGACGAGATAAACATTGGGCTGCGACTTGGCAAGGACTGCACGCAATGTAATTGCCTTCAGTTCGATTCTTCTTCAGACACCTTTTGTCTGACGTCATATTTTGTGCACTGAAAAAATACTGCCCTAAGCAAGAAAATAGTTTCTTTTTGTATTGGCAAAATCTAGTCAGAAACCAAAATGGCTGAATTAGGTTAAGATATAAGAAAGTTAACAGGGTGTTTAAAGGGAAGGATATGTCAACCCTTGCAAACATCTTACCTGTGAGGCTTGACTAATATTCTACATCCATTTGGTAGTAAAGACTAAGCCTATTTCTCAAAAGTTTTGACTGCTTTTAACAATGTTTTCTGGCTAACCTTTTCCAGGAAATCTTTCACTTTATACCGCTCCTTCCAATTGACTGTAAGGCGCAAATCTGCTTAATATACCTTACTCTAATTAAAGCCTTTGATAGTTTTGGTCAAATCCTCGTACACGGATGAAAATGTCAATATTATTATACAATTTTCTATATCCTATGGTAACATTTTGTAAAATGTAGTAGTGGTATTATTGATCAGTAAGAACAGCCGAGTAATATAGCCATGTGCGTCTGCTTTTCGAACTGTCTCTATGCAAACTGGTCCCTCCGTTTGTAAATCTGTCTTTAAGAAACATGTCACATATCCGTCAATGCCGGCTAGAACTATCTTGAATTTCAAAATATGTAAGCAAACCTCGACAATTACAAGCATGCATCCTATTAAGATTTTTCACATAATTACGGTTAAAATATATCATAGCTGAGCCCAAAAATAATGAGCTTTCATGCTTTAAGATAAGCTAGGAAATTAACGCGATATCTGGCGACAAAGTCCTTTGAGGAATTAAGCAACGAAGATTCAGGTTCGCATTCATGGCTAGTGTATTGTTTTGGCCAAAGGACGTATTGGTCAGTGCTATTCAAATAATTAGGCTAACCTCATATACACATATATGTATAGAATGGTAATCAATACTTATTTTCACGCAATTCGTATCTATCTAAGGAATTTTCAGGCTATTGAGAGATGAATTAATCCATAGGACTTTTTATATGTGCTATTCATCTTTTTTCTCACTCTGTATTTTTTGGTGAGAGACTATTCAACTGTTGTGTTGCCTGCCATAGTTCCCATACTCTCACTCATTGGCTGTGCCATCTGTGGCCAGTGCCTGCGGTTACATGCGGACATATGGCGGCATTTTAGTTCAGCTGAGTTGCCTCTATCTGCCTCTCAGCCCCCAGCTGGTGCGCCTTGAGTGCAGACATTTTGTTTGGGTTCTTCCGAGAATTGTGTCTTGTAGTTGTCGTCGTCAGTGGCACAAATAAATCATTGAGATAAGTGGCAGCGCCAAGTGTTTTGTGTGTTGTGTTTGTCGTTATGACTCGTGTTAGTTGTTGTTGTTGTTGCTTTTTTAATGGGCTGCTGGCAGTTAAATGCCAGCTAGTCGTTCATTTAAATGGTTAGCTTAATGCGATTTGAATACAGTTTCGAATGCAGCCCCCGAGCGCAGTTGATGCAAGTCAGATGCAAAACGTTCGCTCGATATGCGACGAGGCGATGCCTTTGAAATGATAACCGACCATAAAAGCCCAGCTTCTAAAAAATAGGGAGAACAAACTCTTAATTACAGCATAATGAATTACTACATACACACACACACGCGTACACATTCATCAATAGCTGTAAGCTCATGCGATAGACAGAGTCAGCAATATGCCATATGTCTGCGTGCATTGGTGAGTACACGCCCCGTTCGCTTTGAGCGCAAAGTCAGCGAGCAGAAACTCACTTGCGCTAGAAAGAGACGCACTGCAGGCTTCCATAATTGGCTGTTGCAGTTGGCACTTTCCAGGCGCGCGCACAATGTGAAACGATGGTAATGGAACGGCAAGCGTGCGTACTCGCTCTCGCTCGCACCCAGCGCTGCCCGCTTGACGATCGCGTTGCCAGGACGACTGGAAAGAACATAAACACAGCAGAGCGCAGCAACGTGTCCCAATTGCCAAAACGTTTCAAGCAGGACTGGTTTTTTCCAATTTCGTTTTCAGTTCTTGTTGGATTCTCAAAGCGTCGACGTGGCCGCGCAGTCACTGAGCCACACGAGAGTCGTCGCTCGCGCAATAGCAAAAACCAAAAACAAAACAACAACAACAAACAAAAAAAAACAAAACAAAAAGAATTTATATTTTCGGCAACGGTCAACGCCGTCGGCAGATTACAGTTGCCTGGTGAGAGAGCGTGCGTGCGTGAGAGGGAGTGGGAATGAGGCGCACAACGTGTTTCATTTCAAGCGTCTTCAACGTTTCAGCTTTGAGTTTTAGCCGCGCATTCACATATTCATTCGTTTCTGCCGCTCGCGTGCAGTCGTTGCCAACTAACGGTGTTTGCCGTCGTCAATGCTAACGCCAACGCCAGCGCCTGGCGCCTCGTCCGGTACCGTCACACAGAGATCAGTGCCAGTGTTGAAAAGCTGCGTGCTAGAACGCAAGTGAAAAAGTGTGCAAAAAGAATAAGAAAAAAGGCAACGCAAAATCAAATTCGAAAAAAAAAAAATTCAAATTCCGTTTCCGATTTTTGATTTGCGTTTTGCGTTCTGTGGCGCTCCTGTTTGTCACGCGATACCCTACAAATTCGAACAGCCCGCCTGGCATAGTTCTCCACACGCAACAGCCACAGCAACAACAACAATAACTTTATAGAGACAAGTGCAAGTGCAGAAAGCTGCCAATTTTGCCGCCGGTGCGGTCATTCACTTCTGAATGCCACACAAAATGTCACTTTGACAGCTCGCCTAAGCGCCGATGCCGTTGCTGTCGCTGCCGACGCCTCTGCTGGTGGCGACGCCTCCGCATTGAGCTTGAAAATCATTTGCGTGCCGTTCTTGCGTTTGGCCTGTTGATTTGTTGCATGCGTCGTTGGCGTCGTCATCGGGCGTCAACACCAACAACGCTTAACTAAACCAACAACAACAACAACAACAACAATAGAAGCAGCCCAATGCGTGCAAGTGAAAAGCAAAAGTGTTACAAAAATCAAAATAAAATAAAATAAAATAAAGAAAAAACATAATCAAATCAACCACAGTGCTAATCGAACTAAAAAAGTGTGTTTTGCACAGTTTTCGGCATATCTGTCATTCACATTTTAATTGTTGTTTAACACTGGCAATGTTTGTGCATAGCGGAATTAGCAATCGTTATAAATTCTTTTATAATTTTTTATATCACTAGCTTTTACTGATTGGTACATTTTTCATAAAATGTATATTAATGTTGTTATTAACACTGGAAAGTGTCTGCGTGACAGAGCGCGATCATTAACAATCATTATAAACATCATGATAAATATCATAAAAAGTTAAGCAATATAGTCTGGTCTCTTCCTTATAATACAATTTAAGCATAATAATAACACATTTTTGCAAATGTCAGCTAGCTTTGGATTCTTATGAACGTTTTAAGCACTTCAAGGAATTCACAAATATTAAATTATTTATTATAACAGTTGGGAATTTAAAATTATAGAAGTAACGTGATATTCACATTTAGTGTCTGAAAACTATATAAAAATAAAATAAAAAAGGATTTAGCAATAATACATTTTTAAATATGATTTTAAAATTTAGAAGAAAAGTTCTTTGGAAAAAACATACGATTTGCATATAAAGAAATAATGTATGTGAATTCCTGCTGCATAAACATTTCATTCAGCCTGCAACAATATATTTGTTTAGGGTTCTATTCAATTTCTCGATTTGAAATAAGACACTTAAATACTTAAAGAAAATGTTTTTAATATCTCTAAGTTCATTATATCTATAATTATTATTATCAAATTCTATAATTTAAGATTGTCTTCTCTCTACTTAGCTTTACACACTGAAGCTCTTAGTATTATCCACAAAAAGTGCAATAATTAAAAACAAAAAAGAGCCTAGTTAAACAAAATGTGAGACGTCATGATCAAGCAAAGAAAAATGCAAAAACGTGACAAAAACGAAGCCCAAAAAGCCACCGCAGCTGCTGAGATCCTGCAGCAGTAGCAGTTGCAGGAGCCGCAGCCGCAAGAGGACTGCAGCTTAATAAAAAAAAAACCAATTACAAATCAAAAGGCTAACTTGCAACACGCGTTGCAAAGAAAGTGTGTGTTACAAAAATATAAAAAGGAAAAGAAAAAATCATTCACAACGGCGACCATCACGAACTCCGCCCTTGCAATGAGCCAACTGGGCACCGTCTACGCCACCAAGCGAAGGCGACGCAACGGGAAAAGGTGAGTGACGAGTGCCCCAGCCCCAGCCCCCCCGCAGGCAGCCAACTTGTGGCAAGTGTGTGTATCTCTATGATTACTGAAAGATTTCAATCAATGAAAACGTTTAGCTCCAAAGTCAACTGCTTTGTTTTTTTCTCTCTCTCTCTCTCTTGGCCATCAATCTGCAGCTTGTTGGGCCCAGCTACTGATAAATGATGCCGCAAACAGCATTTGTGCTACTGGTCTTTTGTTATGCCACAGCAGAGGGTATTTTCATTTTCGCATGGAATCTGTAACAGCTGAAAGACATCTCTGAAACAGCAGCAATAGTAGAGAAAGGTTATTTCAGTTTTGAAGCTATCTGAACTAAAACTTGGGATAGTTGGCAACTAACCAACTATCTTGACTGACCTTACACATTCTTTAATCAAACTTACCAATTAGAAGTTTTATTGTGATCCAAACAAATTGACAGAAGAAACGACAGTCGAGTATTTTTAAAAAGAAGAGCAATATTAATCAAAGTCGGACAACTAATACAGTTCACGCCAGTTTTTTTTTTTTTGAAAGTAAAGTGAGTCCATATTTGAATTGTTTTATTTAAAAGCGTTTTATTTTCAATTTGGCTTTAAACAAACAATTGCAAATTATGTTTTGTAAGAATAATTTCATATCGCCCATCTGCCATATTTCTGCAAGGGTATTTAAGCTACGGCTTCGGAAAGAAAACACTTCTCACTTGATTTTCTAATTTATTAATCAATCTCTCCTGTCTCACGCTGCGTATACGCAATTCAGATACAACTTAGCAACAGCTTGAGTATTCAATATGGAAATTATGAATATTATGCATGTCGGCAGAGTTGCGTGAAATTACAGTAGTACCCCCTTACAAGGCACACGGGTCGGCCCTTTGTTTGCTGCCCCTTCTTCTCTTCATACTTTGTTCTTTAAGCGCTTTGCTCTATCGCCGCCTTATCGCAGGGCGCAGATCGAGTATCGCCGCTGCCCAAAAGTGCATATAATTTCTGATAATTTTGTGTACTTAACTTGCCGCAAAATACTTGTAAACACAACAGCAGCAGCAACAACAGCAGCGAAAAAAATAATAATAAAATAAAAGACGCAAAAAATTGCTGCAGTAGCTGCTGCCAAGACACGCCCCCAACTGCGCACAGTAATTGCGCCCCAACTGATCAGCAGCGGGAGAGCAACAGCGGCCGAGTCCAAAGATAGCGACAAAGTTATTAATTTTTTGTTGCCTGCCTCAGTTTTCTTTATTTTTATCGCATACCCTAACGAAGTGTGTTTGTATTTTGGCATGTAATATGTAACACGTTAAAGAACGAACTACCTACTTCATATATATATATATATATATATATATTATAAGATTTGATCCTAAGAAGAACAACAAATATAAATGCCGTCGATAAAACATATCTAATATTATCTAATATTATATCTACTTAATCTATCTTTATGAAAGCAATCTATGCTCTATCTATGCTCTATCGTAATATGTTACGACTCGAAGTAAGACTCTCAGTATATCAGTTATATTCGGATTCTCATGTTATTCTCATATTTAAGCTGAATAGATTTTGTACCCTAAAAATACTGTGTTTCTTATCTGTTACAATTTGTAATCAAATCTTATAATTATAAAAATGTAAAAATCTTAAGATTCTACCCAATCACAGCCATAGTTTTGGGATAAAACACTTAATTGCTTGAAACCGTTTCTTTGAAGTTTACTTCAAATGTAATCAGTTTTAATATTTTGTATCTGACGATTGTATTTAACTGTTTAAATCAATCTCATAATCTTTTTTGGAAGGGTATTTCGTCTTTGTCTACTCCAACTCAAATGTTTCTTTCCATTATTTTTTTCCTTTATAATTTTATTATTGCTGTGCAGCCATCGACAGGCAGCGCGCATAATTTGCAGCGGTTGTGGCTTAAAAAACAATTACTTCTCGCCAAAATGCTGCAGCCCGTTTGCCCCTCAATCCCCTCTCCCCCACCTTCTTGTAGCGACCCCCCACCCTAGTCATGGTGTGTTACCCTGGCTGGCGCGTTGCTCGCTCGACTGACGCAAAATTGTCACCTTGCCATGCACACCTGCAATTAAATGTCAGCTCGGCCGGGCCAAGTGCAACTGCCACTGTTTCCCTCCACTAGTCCTGCCGCGCACCCCTCTCGCTCTTATAGAATTTCTGTTTTAAATGAAACGATCAAAATGTGTCTGCCTAAACAACTTTTGTGCTATTTTAATTGCGCTCCTCGCGGCCGGCAGCTGTTGCCAGGCTCGAGTACTTAGCAAATATTTCACATACGCCGCATGGGTTGCAATTATCACAAAGAGCAGTGCTGCAAAATGTGTAATGTTTGTGCAGTGTTTGGCAAATTTTGGAAAAATTACAAGCATATTGGAACCTATCATTTTCTGCACCCAGCACGAGCCCAAAACAAGTTATTAAAAAAAAATTTAATATTTTAGCGTTAAATATAGAATAATTAATATTAAAAAAAAACTATTTTTATTTGTTAACATGAGCTGAATTATTTACAAGCTACTTTGCTATGAGGATAACATTTACAGCATTTGTTAGATTTTAACTTTAGTATTAGTTACCTGTGCAAGTATTTATGCTTCTCCACTGTGTGTGGTGCGCTAAAAAAAAAAACAAGAGACCGCTCAACCACCGAACCACCCAACGTATTGCATGGCATTTAATTGTTGGCCATGCTGATCCGCTGCAATCGAGGGCCAACAATTAACACGAGTAGTTAAAGTTCGTACGGCCCTACACCCCAATGCCTCAGTGGGATTCCTGTAAGCCCTAACAACCAACAAGAACAACAATTGCAACAACTTTAACTCGAACTCTATTTGCAGCTCCCGCTTCAACTCTAGCTCCGACTCTGGCTCCATGGCCAGCGGCATCGACTGGCTGGTTCCACTTGTTGGTTGTTATGGATATATGAGTCCTGCTTTTGCTTTATTGATTATCAGCGAGTTGTTGTTGTTGTTTGTGCATTGTTGTAGTGGCTGTTGTTGTGGTTGTTGCAGTTGTTGTTGCTTGTGCTGGTTATTGATTGCAGCAAGTGGTGCAGCGCCCCCTTCACACGCCCTCTGCTGTGCCTGGCTTCAGTCCTTGTTGCTATTAGAAATTGTAATTAGCCAAGTTAGCTGTAACTATAGTTGTTGTTATTGTTTGTAGTTTGTCTTTAAAGTTCAAGCGTTCATATGTTATACGACTTGATTGAGTTGCAAAGAAAAGTTCCCAATGCCTGTACAACTTATAGAAATAGTTAAAAGCTAGTCCAGCAAAAATTGGCTGCGGTTCGACTCGATGGCCGCCTGGTTTAGTTCCTCAATCGGGTTTTCCGCATCTACGATTCCAGGCCCACAATTTGGTTCTGTTCCCTTCAGGGATAGGTTCGGTTGTTCTTTATTTAACTTATACGTTCTAAGGTTCAATTAATTTAAACATAAAATTGGATTCCTTAAACTAACTCTTCAGCTCCGGCACTACATTTATGATAAATGATTTTAGTAGCATACATTTTTACGTTAAATTGTTTCCCACATGCTCAGGCATATATATACTTTTCGAATCGACTGCCCCTTTGAAAACCGCAATGCCGCGCCTGACATATGTTTTCACGTTTTTGGTAGGGTCAACGGACCAGCGGACCAGCGGCCCAGCTGACCATATGCCATTGCCTTAGTCCATGCCAGCTCATAGAGCACACCATAAATTTTCACAACGAAGTTTTACTTCAAGTTCAGTCGGCAAATTGACCAAAGGACCAATAGATGAGGGGGTGCCAGGGGGGGGGGGGTGAAGTGGACCAAACAAATAGACAACAGTTGGCCAATGCTTACGGTGGTGGTTCCAGTTTTCTAACCCCTCATCCCACGTCCTTTGCCTGCTGCTGCTCATTAGTTGCGCCTGCGCCGCCGCCTCCGCGGTTTCGTCTTTCAAGAGTTCATATGGGGTTAAAAGTATATCAGACGAGTTATCGCCGGGCCGTTCGGTTAATTACAGTTGCCCGGGCGTGAGAGCGGGTGTGATATCAGTCATAGATAGGCGAACAAAACTATACCCATCTCTGTAATGCAGTTTATTAAGCTGGCCAAGTCATATGCTATTCTTATCTATTAAACTATTCAAATATAGACATAACTAAAGGTCAGCCTCTCGGCCCAATTGATTCAAAGTGACTTTGCAGGAATTTTTTTTGACTAATGTTTTCAAATTGTTTCATTCATTATACCCTTATAGAGGTTATTATAATTTTGTTATGAAATGTGTAAAGCATTGAAGAATTCGTCTACGACCCCATAAATTACATATATTCCATATCAGCATCAATAGGCGGGTTGATATATCCATGTCCGTCTGTCCGTCTGGGTCCTTTGCATAGGACCATCATCTTCTGCAGGTAATATATATGTTAAAGACAAAATCTTATCAACATCGGAGCACTATTTCATAAAGCTGTCTTGGAAAAAAAAGGTTGAAAAGTTTTTGAATGAACATGTTTTTTGTTGTTCAAGTTATCTTGCGCATAAAAGTATATTTTATATTTTTCTTCATTTTTATATGTCCTCCATGGTGAATTTAGTCTTCATTAGCCAACTTTACACCATGTGTTAACTCTAATTAGAAATCTATAGATAATTTACTGGAGCTATTCACCAATCACTGATTATTTAATTGCTATTCAAATAATTAACTCGATTGACTACTAGTACTTTAAGAGTTTTTCTAGGTGAAATTTTCACATATCTTACCCTTTCCATCGTGTATATTTTAGTTAAGATGTCATTTTGTTAAATTATCTTTCTTAAGACTGTTTTATTTGAAACATTTTCAAGATACAAAATACTATCAACTAATCTATAATTTCTACGTGGTCCAAATCTCAGACTTGATTATAATTGGCACAGTATTTTCTTCAATATTCAATATTTATTTAATTTTCTTGGAGTTATTATCAAAGCGCCA